CGACCAAGAACACCTTCTTAGAATGATAAAATGCGTTTTAGTGCGTTCCATTTGAGAACGGTTTCCATTTGTTGTGGAACGTTTTCTTTTCTTAAAAAAAGAGCTTCAGTTCTTTTGGAACGCATTCTTCACCGTTCTTTTTTAGTAATATTTTTCACTGGGCGGTTCGACGACCCGGCCCAGCCCAGCCTGGCCCATAGAAAATCTTAGCACGGGCTCTGGGCGGGCCTATTTTTTTGTCGGACCATCCGGCCCGACGTTTCAAGCAGATCTTTTTTTTTATTACCATACATAGGTGTCACTAGAGATTAAAATTGTAAATTTCTTATATTATATATTATGTAGATATCGGTTAAGATAAAATAGATATATAAAGCTTGTTTGAATTTAATATTCATCTGTACTTTTCTGTTGTTGTTTTAGTCATATTAAATTAAATTTATTTTATCGATGAATTTATTATTAGAACATTAGATAATCGTTTGTGATTGTGTTGTTGATGAACTGGTATTAAATTAAATTTATTTGGTCGATAATTCTTCTATTATGATATTGTTGTTGCATTCATATGATGTGTGAACCTGGATCTGACACGCCCAGGAGAATGATTCCGATAGTGGGAATGGGAACCTATCGGATTCGTGTCTGAATCTTATCTGATATATTATGGATTTCATTAAACCGACGAAATCCTATCGGTATCCGGGTGTGGGACCTACAATCGGAACCCTATACTGTTGGAATCTGTCAGGATCGCCATCTATATAATGAATATAGTATGGACGATCCTTCTTATTAATATATTGGACATATCCCGGTAATTGGGTGGTTAACTTTTTTTCTCGGTTGTTGTATTTTTGTCGAGTTGACTGTGAGCTGTTCTTCTTGTTTTTCTGTTTTGTTTTCTTTCATCTTCTTTGTAAAAGAGGTCTCATTACTTTTTTGAAATAAAGTTATTCATCCATAAAATACCTAACAGAATCCAACATAAGCATTCGACCCATATGTTCTGTTAGCACCATATGCTTATTCATTGGTGACTAAGAAAATGATTTTTTCCGTCGGATTCGTTAGTAGGTCCGTGACAGGAATCTGATCGGATTTTGTCGACTTGTCGGATTCATTAACCTGGGCGGAGAATAATCCTTTATTGCCAGTGCAAGATTCAAATGCTAGCCCAGTGAAGTCTTCAGATTTCGACAAGGAACATTATCAAATTCATCAAATTGAGAAATTGTTAAAAATGTCTATGTGTATTGGTCCAAAACAATATATTGTTACAAAAAATGTATCACACGTTATTAGATCTTACGTTTGGGATAAATTTAAGTTTCCTGCGAAAGTTCGAACAGATGGTCTTCATGATGTTATACCTGGTTTTGTTACATGTTCTGACTGTTTTAAAACTCTTGTATATGATGGTAGTACTAAATATATGATCAAACATAAATATTCTTTTTCTTGAATGAATTTATATGAACATAAAAATTGTTTCTAGCTGTAGCTTGGTCGGACCGGACGGGCGCTGCAAATCAGTCGGGCGGACCAGGCCGGGTCAGACTTAAGTTTAACCGGGTCAGCGGGCTTATAAAACTTAAGGCCCGCTTTGGGCCGGATCGGGTGATGAAAAAGCGGCCCGATTTTGAGGCCTGTGCTATACATTAGAATGGCCTCAGTAATCGTAGCATGTCGGTTGATACCGATTTAAATCGATTGAATTGATTGTTAGATTACGTCAAGAAGTTTGAAAAAATTATCAATATCGTATCTATGAAGTTGATGAAACGAGAAATCTAAATTTCATCATACGACGCAGCGAATATTGTTAGACGAACCAATTTTTCAAGTCGTTTTCTAGATCTGTTCAATGCTGAAATCAATCACCCATATGGCTTTAAAACATTATCCCAGAAGATAAAAGACAACACAACTGCGAAGTCCGTCCCTAAATGCTTTCATTCGAATCCCATTCATTACCATACTGATTTCGTAATAGCTTGATATATCTATTTGCCTATTTTCTCTTATGAAGCAACTCTCTGTGTTTCCACAATTTCATTTTCATGAGATTTACTCTAGAAAAACAATAAATAGCTAGATAAACTGTTCAAGATTTTGATATGTTTTAGTATTGATGTCAGAAGCTTGGAAAAAAATGACCAAAAGCTACTGGAATATGCCATAGAAAGTACATATCCCAATGCTTTTAAAACGATATAGTAGAGGTTTGATTATGCTGAGTGATTGATATCGCTATTATGCAGATACTTTGGGGAGAGATACAGATTCATAGACTAAAATGGGTCAGCAAGCACCCACATATACCATACG